GATCTTTGGGGTGAACCAGCCTTTGCCGTAATGTGTTTTGGGGTTTGAAAGCTACTGGGACATCATGTTTAGAAAATAAACRTCTCAGTTTCTCCGAAACACCCGCCACATACGGAATAACCACTGGTTTGGGTCTGGGTTTGGGGTAAATTAAGAACAAGGAAAGGAGGAAAGTAAGATTAGTATGTTACTACTACTTTTACTTTTATCAGTGTGGGTCAGCCGGAACTGCATGTCTTTTCTAAGCTCAGGTTCCACATGACACGTCACTCCGAACACATCAGCTTTTACCTGATAATGTCTTCTTAAGGCACACTCGAGGTAGGAGCTGGCTTGCCTCCGATCAGTCAGGGAACTGATGTCGGCTCGCTTACCGGTCATTGGCGAACAGGTGTTTTCACAGGTAACTTGCGTCTCTTTCAGTCCAAGCCAGAAAAATTCAAGCTGTATCCGGTCCCTCTTTCCAAAATAAAATCTCCCCTCGGGAGTTAAAAACACTCAGAGGCTCGAAGCCTCGATTTGGAACCATCGGCAGGCGTGCCAGTTCCCTGGCTGTGAAGTCTTCCCTAGTTAGCTCATGGGATCAGACTTAAAGCCAAACTGAATTTTCTCCGGAGAGAATACCAGCTGTCTTCCTCGGTTGGAATCAGGAAGAAGAGTGTCTGTCGCTCAAAGCCGTCGGGTTAGTAAAAGAAATGGATTTCTGGAATTGTTTGGTTCCGCCCTCAGGCTTAGAGATAAGTCAGAGAAAGAAAGATAAAGATTTGCCTGCGGCGCCAGCCCAAGGTTAAAATTCTGTGGCTGTTCAACAACATGATAYGATAACCTCTTTTCAGCTTTCTTCTGATAGACTCTAAGAGAAATCACTGCAAAACATTTATGATGATTAATTAACATTTCTGCTTTATAATCAGTTCTGAACCTTCTGTTAGTCCAGATAAATGAAAGATTTTCTCAGGAAAAATCCACAATTATCTTACTGTGTTCACAGTAAAATAAAAACAGTGATTTACATAAAAACTCAATGAAAACATTCTAATCAGATTCTCTGTGATTTTTTTATACCATTATTAATCTTTAAGGCACGATAAAAGAAAAGAAGTGGTTCCACTTTTCCTGTGACAGTCATCATGATTTAACAAATGCATAAACATTCTTAGTTAAACAACAAATGAATCACGAACAGAAGAGATTGTTCTGTCCATTATCTGATTAAGAGAACTGAGGTGTTCTCTTCCATGGTTAGGATGACCTGTCATGGCCTAAATAGAGTTCAGTTTGTGACAGAGTTCCTGTCCTCTCATCAGGCCTGTCCGAGGCCTGCTTGGAGGCAGTAAATCTTGTTTCTTCACTTGAGGTGACCCCTACACTATAGACCAGATTCTTTAAACAGATATTTGAACATTTTACTTTTGATGTTGGCGTTTAAAGTCCAGTTGTCAGTTAGGGTTGGTCAATTGGACAAATGATTGACAGCACGGCAGCTCAGTTGTTAGCACAGATGCCTCACAGCAAGAAGGTTGTGGGTTCGATCCCCGGTTCGGACCTGGGGTTTTTCTGTGTGGAGTTTGCATGTTCATCTCGTGCTTGCATGGGTTCTTTCCAGGTACTCGAGTTTCCCCCACCCCTAAAAACATGTACAGTAGTGAATCAAACTGGAGCACAACATCTGGCTTCCAATATGAAGTACTTCCGGTTCTGCTCGTAGCGTGTAAGCTGCGTTCCTCTGATGTTAAAGTTAATAACTTGAATTGGCGTTGTCGCAGGATCCACTAGGAGATCGACGGACCAAGGCCACATAGCAGGTGGAGTGATATGCATGAGCAAGGATCACTCAGGATCGTGACTCCAGCTGGATCTAAAGAACCTTTTTAACAACAGAAATATGCTGGTGAACACTGACCATGATGGATGATCTTGAATAAGCAAGAGAACATTGGATTTTATTTTTGGCTGTTGAAGAACCTGAGAAGATTTTTAAACATCTACTGCTGAGAGTGAGTACAGAAAAGCTTCAAGATGCCTCCTTTCATTTCCAAAGAGGATTTCTACCAGGTTCTCCAAAAAGTGACGGTGCTGGAGCTCAAGATTCATCGTCTGGAAGAGATGAATGCTTTGGAGGACTCAACATGTGTTCAAACGTGTGACTGAGAGGAGAGATCGACATGGAGAGGAGATGGAAGCTGTGTCTGCTTCTGAGAGTCAAGCTGTATGGAACTCTCTTGGTGCCAGACCAAAAAATCTCTCAGGAAGAATTGAGCTCTTAGATGACAACGAATGGCCAGAATTAGAGAGAAATGCTTTTTCCTCCACCAGCAAGGAGAAGAATGCAGCGACAGGCTGAAATCAAAACAACTGATAACAGCCAGAGAAATGAAGACGGTGCAGTCTTTCTTCAAAACGGATACACACCACTGAAAGAAACTGGTGAGTCTGAACAAAGTTCATTTGCTGATCTCAGAGAGGGACCTGAGACCAGATCCAGATCCAGACCAAAACAAGTCCAAAGAGAGACTTTCAAGAATCAAGAAATGCTGATTATCACAGATAAAATGGTGAATGAGATCAGATGCTTCTGGTCAAAGTCAAAATTCTGAGTTTTGCTGATAAAGTGTCTGACCTCGCAAAGAAGATTCTGGAAATCACAGCAGAGTATTCAGCTCTGAAGACGCTCATCATTCATTCAGGAAGTGATGAAGTTATGAAACGACAGTCAGAAATCTTGAAGGATTCCATTCAGTTGCTGAATGCAATTAAGAATCTCAACATGAATGTATTGTTCAGTGGGCCCATTCCTACAGCCCGAGGAGGGGCTGAGAGGTTCAGTAGGCTGTTGGCCCTTAATGTTTTTTGGAAAAGTCCTGTGCTGACCAATCTGTGAGATATGTGGATAACTTTAATCTCTCCTGG